CAAACCAACACTCGTAGATCGCTTCTTCAGAAATTGCATCATTTCTGAAGAAGGATCCCGACCCAAAACGTCAACTTTCCTAGTCCTCTTATGCTGCCTGGCCTGCTGTGTTCCTCCAGCTCCACACTTATCTCTGACTCCAGCATCGACAGTTCTTACTACCTCCGAATAGGTCTTAATCAGGTTTTTTGTTATTCGGTCTGTTGGAGTTCACCTACCCTTCAGTTTAAGCTCTCTAGCTATCAGTCTGAAATATTAACCTGTTATTTTTTGCTAGTACAATAGTCTTAAAAATAGTGAACAGTCTTCCCGGTGGGGGCAAGTTTACAACAGAAAATTGCTCACGATTTTTCACATCAATAATTTCAGGAGTAAGAGCAAATAAGTGCTGATGCAAGAAACAGCCCAGTATACCCCTAGAGATGGAACCAAATGGAACTTGTTGCACACTACCAGGGTAGTCTTGACATCTGTATGTTATGGATTCAGGAAAGTTGCGAGTTTAGTATTGACTGCTGAAAGTTGAAAGCATTCTCTGCCTTGCCACCTCCCTCTCATCCATGAAAAACAAAAATATCATCTTTCGTTATGTTTGTGTTCCCTCCTATCCTCACCCCATCCTATTCAGCACTCTCAAAAGGAGATCAATCTGTTAAACAAAAGGATGTCTCCATACAAAGTGTGCATTGAAATTAAAAGTTATTGCGGTTTTTCTATTCCCATTGAAGATTTTTGAGTACAAAAATGAGTTAAAAACAGATGGTTTATCAAGGCATTGAAAAGCCCAAGTCACTGAGAATTTGAAGCCAGTTAGGCCTTTCTTTCAGTGGTAGCATTTTAACTTCTGTCAGAGGTCCCATCCTCAGAAACCCAGAGTGCACCATCAGAAGGCTGATACAACAAAGGAAAATTCTCTTATGGCTCGTGCAACATTCATCGCTTGGTAATATTGCAGGATTGTGATGATGCTACAGAACAGCAATATTTTCTTCATTCTGGATGAAGTGGGGGAAATCAAAAAACCTGAAAGAAGATTTTTAATTATATTTTTAAAAACAGGGAAGCGACAAGATAAAATACTTTTCACACCTGACAACAGCATTGAGTACATAGCATGCCCAGGTCAGAGCACAGTACAAGTCTTTTTTTTTTAAAAAAATATTATGTTGAATAAGAGATCTACATCAATCAAATCTCAAATCACCTCCTCTCCTTAATGACTGACTTAAGGCTGAACCACTGAGCTCACTAACCAATATTGCCTCCCAATATAGGGGAGACGTCAGAGGTAGGTTCTTTACTCAGAGCGGTCAGGGCGTGAAATGCATTGCAGGAGAGGGTAGTGGAGTCGGCCTCATTAGGGCATTTAACTGGCTGTTAGATAGGCATATGGATGATAGTATAAAGTAGGGGTGGAGGTTAGATAGACCTTAGAATTAGGGTAAATGTTCGGCACAACATCATGGCCGAAGGGCCTGTACTGTGCTGTACTGTTCTATGTTCTATTAATCATACAATGCCTCAAATTAAAACACTATTCTTGTTTTCAAACCTCACCCCTCTGTATCTCTGTACCCCCCTCCAGCCCTACGATCCTCCGAAGTACTACTGCTCCTTCATTTCAGGCCCCCGAAGCATCAGACTCTCAGGCATATTTTAATAAACCAGGCCCTCAAATAATGACAAGCAGATGAACTAAGAATTACTACCACCAGCATTTCTGGAACTATGCCAGCAAAGGTCAGAGCTCTCAACAAAGGGACAGAAAACAACAGACAAAAATGCAAGAACAAAATAAAACAGTTAATGACTTTTGCTTCAATCTACTATTCTGCAGAAGACCAATCAGATTATGAATAGGCCAGTAAAAGGTGAAAAATACAGGAGGGACAATGTGAGCCATTTTCTTAAATAAAAACAGAAAATGGAAGATAATTTTAACAAGTCTGGGAGCACCTGTGGAGAGAGAAACAGTTAAATGTTTCAAGTCCTATGCAACCCTTCAGTTCTGAACAGAAATTACATTGGACTTGAAATGTTAACTCTGCTCCCTTCATGGATCCTGCCAGATCTGGAGTTTCTCCAGGTTTGTCCTTTTTTTATTTCAGACCTCTAACATTTGCAAATATTTTATTTTCATACAAGTTGTTTTCTTATTTTGCTTTATCCATTCATGGGATGAGCGTGTCTCTGGCAAGAAAGTGGCAGAGCAACATGTTCCTGAATCACTGCAGTCCATCTGGTACAAGGACACCCAGTGCTGTGGGGGTGGCAGTTCCAGGATTTTCATCCAATAACAGTAAAAGAAACAAGGATACAGTTCCAAGTGAAGATGATGAGTGGCTTGGAGGGGAGATTGCAGGCAACAGTGTTCCCATACATCTGGTATTCTAGGTGGCAGAGATCACGTTCAGAAGTTGATGCCAAAGTGGAATTGACAAGTTACTGCAGTGCACCTGGTAGATTGTATACGTTTTGCTTCAATGGTGGAGTGTGTGAAAGGGGAAAGGAATGCATGGAATGCCAATCAATCAAGCTACTTTTTCCTTTGTGATGTTGAGTTTCTGCTGTGTTATTGGAGTTGAGCATATCAGAGCAAGTGGTGGACATTCTATCACAATTTTGACTTGTACCTTGGAGGTGGATAGGCTATTGAAAAATCAGGAAGTAAATTATTCTGTACATAATTCCCCAAGTCTGACCTGCTCAGGTTACTATTGTGGACATTTGTGCATGCAGTCATACAATTAAGTGTCATAATTCAGGAATCACATTCTTACAAATTAGAACAAAATAAAGAATGTTTAACATATTGATTCAACTTCAGCATATTGCCATTTTTAGGATAAAACTCTTCAACTTAGCACTGACCTGAGTACTTTTGCCACATCCCAGTTTGCCAGAAACCAATACCAGATTATTGTTGACGAGACTTTCCATGAAGTGGTACTTGATACTCCAAACTGGCAGAGCTTTCCTCCGTTTAAGTAGCTCATAGTATCGTGAGGAAAAAGGTAGCCCATCAAAAGGATTAACTTCTAGATCACTGTTATCACAGTTCAAGTCCTCATCCTTATCATCTTCTAACTCAGAGGTAAAACCATTTAGTTTTGATGAAATGGAGCTGGAGTCAGCAGCTTGTCCACTGCCCTCAGGCTCACTGTCCATCCTGCCAATGTCCATTCGTCAAGTCCCTTTTACAAACCAAGTGCCGTTTTCAATGCTGCAAAGAAAAAAAACGGAGACCAGAAATTCAAGTCAGGCAAAAATGGCAGAGCCTACAATAGTCATGAACATGGAACTCACACAGCTCTTCCTAGTCAACTGCAAACACCAAAAAATTAGATCCAATCAATTAACAAAAGACAGGAGGAAAAGTTGCTCTGATTCCCTCCTATTGATGATTACTTCCTCCTCTCTTAGGAGTAGTTCAGAATATATTTAAGCTCTTTTTATTTATAAAAATCATGTCCACTACAAGAGCCAGGATGCTTTGCTGCAACTGTACAGGGCTACTGTACAACTGCTGTGACTACTTCTGGTCTCTGTATTCAAAAAGGATGTTCTGGCTATGGAGGAAGTGTAACAAAAGTTTACCAGACTGATTCTTGGACTGGCAGGACTGAAGTATTAAGAGAGACCAGATTAGTTAAGGCTATAGTCACTAGAATTTAGAAGAATATGGGGGCATCGCAATGAAACCTATTAAATCGTAACAAGACCAGAAAGTGATGACCAGGAAAATCCAGAACCAGGTGTCACAGTCTAAACATAGGTGGTAGGCCATTTAGGACTGAGATAAGAAGAAATTTCTTCAACCAGGCAGTGGCAAGCATGGAATTCTCTGCCACAGAAAGGCCAAAACATTGACTGTTTTCAAGAAGGAAACTGCTCTAATTCTTAGGGCTAGAGGAAGAGGGCATCGAGTTGGATGATCGGGAATGATCATATTGAATGGCAGAGCACATCTGAAGGGTCAAATGGCCTGCTGCTGCTTTATGTTCTATGTTTCTATTGGGTAAGGTTGGCAAATTGCCGGTCCCAAAAGGATATTAGTAAACCAGAAGTTTTTGCAGATGGCTTTTACAATCCAAACCACATGGACTTTGAAACAAAAACAGAAATTTCTGGAAAAGGTCAGCAGGACTGGCAGCATATGTGGAGAAAAATCAGAGTTTGCAACCCTTCCTCAGCTTTTCCAGCAATTTCTATTTTTGTTTGATTTACAGCATCTGCAATTTTTTCGGTTTATGTAATTTTTGAAACCTGCTCTCCTCCTCCATCTTACCACAGCTCTTATGCGCATGATTCCGAGACATAGGTCAGCTGCTACAGCTCCGCTAGTTTCACTATGCTTTGACTGAATGCATGATGATTCACAAGGGAATATCCATCTGTTAGTTCCTTCACATCAGTCCTCATTTCCCAATTTTAAGGTCAAGTATTTGAGGGAGTCAACTATCCTTTTTGTGGGCTTTACAATGCCCAAGTTGCAGCTGTGTTAGTCCTCAATCGCAGGCGAAATGGTAAAACATTTAGGACCTGTACTGTGAAGAGCATCCACCATTCTTCACATGAATGCAATTTAATCCATGAATTCATGTCCAAGTAATGTAACAGTCATTCAAAACAATGTTCAATGCTGTGGCTGTATTTTCTACATTTCTGTCTAGAAGGAATAAAAAAAATATAGACACTGATCACATTCCAACACAGCAAAATCAGGTGTTTTCATCCCATAAGATCATAACAAAAAAGGAGCAGGTGGGCATCATTTGCTCGACTCAGTCTGCTCTGCCATTCAATAAGATGAGCAGACTTTCCACCTCAAATCCAGTTTCCGATAATATCTCTATACCCTATATCATTGCCCACATATCAACTGACCTCTGTCTTGACTTTGCTTCTTGACTGAGCATCCTACTTTCTGGGGTGAAAAATTCCAAATATTAACAAGTTTGAGAGTGAAGGTCTACATAGTTGACCCTTTAGTCTGAGATTAAGCACCCCGCTCACACCTTACATTTCCACAAACCCACCCAAACTCATTCTAGCTTCTTCAGCGAGAAAAAGTGTCTCAACATCTTCACTGTCAAACCCTCTTTTATACATTTCAATAAAATCCTCTCTCCTCCTATTCTCTGGGGAATTTAAGGATATCCTCGTCAATCTCTCTCCACAGGAAATTTCTTTATCTCAGGAATAAGTTGAATAAATCTTCACCGCATTCCCTTGAAAAAGGTAATGATCTCCTTCCTTAGTTATACACATCAGCCAACCTGTGACATCTCCCACTGGGGATGTTACTTCAGCACTGTTAGACAACAGCCACTAAATCCAGATGGATTGAGACAGCTCCATAGACCCTTGCAGTGAACTGTCAGAAGATACATTTTGTCCTATTGATGAGCTCTGCATCTTGGTCCTTAATTACTCAGTATTACAGTTACATCCCTGCAAAAAGAGATTTGGCAGGGCACAGGTAAAGAGAAACTTACAGAAATGTGATACTGGCAATGACAAAGAGGTTTCATAAACAAACATTACACATTGTAGTAACTAATTTAAGAAGCATGTTATCTTGAATGCAAGGACTCTCTCAGTTACCCAGAAGCACTACGTGAATTTATAATCAATCTTTGTTACAGAAACAGTTGCTGACAGATAGAGGTATTGTGGTGCTAATTATCCTCCAACCTTATTTAAGATAAGAAGGGCTTCAAAGATACCATTTGTATTCTAGCCAAATATCAAAAATGAAAGAAATACCTTGCACTTGTACTTTACATCTCTCTAATTCTACACAATATTCAGTCGTGGAGAACTGCAAAGTACTTTTTTTTCACATGTTACTCGACAGGAACAGGTGCACATCTGGGAGCAATAAAATAGCAGCCATTTTGTACTTAAGGGCTGAATCTGCCTTGTCATATCAATTTCTCAGCAGCAACTGCTGCATGGATGCCGTTTCAATGCAGATAAATATGCCAATAATGAACTTCCTATCATCACACGCCAAATCGCCCACAGCCAATTTAAATTTTAAGTGTAGTCACTGTTGAAATGTAGGAAGTGAGGCAGCCAATTTGTATACAAGATCCCACAAACAGCAGTTATAAGAAATCACCTTGTCTTTTTCAGTGTCGTTGTTGCCAGTTATTTTGATATCCTAAGCAATTATAGGAGAGCTTGTAGCCTTGGGTGAGAAAATGGTAAATCTTGAGGACTAAGGTTAATAGTTAATTGACAAAGTTCTTGTTAATACCACTTGTGGACATATTGTCATTGCTCAGCAACAGTATTCATACTACATGTTCAAAATATTTTTTTGAGCTTCTCTAATAACTGCAGAAACAAGAGGGAGGCAGGCAACGGCCTAGTGGTATTATCACTAGACTATTAATCAAGAAACCTAGGTGATGTTGAGGCTCTAGTCAGGAAAAAGAAGGCGGCATAAATTGGGTTTAAGCTATTGGGCTCAAGCGAATCTCTAGATGACTATAAAAAGTATAGGAGCACACATAAAAGAGAGAAATCAGAAGAGCAAGAAGAGGGCAAGATAGATCTGGCAGATAAGGTTAAAGATAATCCCAAGAGGTTCAATAGCTATATTCAGAGTAAAAGGGTGGCTAGGGAGAGAATAGGTCCCCTTAAAGATCAGCATGGCTGTTGATGTGTGGTGCCACAGGAGATGGGGAAATTTTTAATGAATATTTCTCCTGTGTTTACTGAGGAGAGAATCATGGATGCTAAGGAAATAAGGGAAACAAGTGGGGATATTTTGGACCGCATACATATTACCAGAAAGGAGGTGTTAGCAGCCTTAAAACACATTAAGGTGGATAAATCCCCTGGGCCTGACCAACTCCATTCTCGAATGTTGTGGGAGGGTAGGGAAGAAATTGCAGAGGCCCTTGCAGAGATTTTTGTTTCATCTTTAGTCACTGGGGAAGTTCCAGAAGACTGGAAGGTGGCAAATGTTGTTCCAATGTTTAAGAAAAGTATCAAAGACAGGCCAGGGAACTACAGGCCAGTGAGCCGGACATCAGTGGTAGGCAAGCTTTGGAGAGGATATTGAGGGGCAGGATCAACCAACATTTGGATAGTCAAGGTCTGATTAGGGATAGTCAGCATGGATTTGTGCATCAGAAGTCATGTCTAATAAATCATTTAGAGTTTTCCAAAGAGGGAAGCAAGAGGATGGATGAGGGTAGGGCAGTGGATGTTGCCTACGTGGAATCTAGTAAAGCCTCTGACAAGGTCCCGCACAGCAGACTAGCCATGAAGGTTAGGCTGCATGGGATCTGGGGAGAGCTAGCTAATTGGATTCAAAATTGGCTCGATGGTAGGAACCCGAGGGTGATGGTTGAAGGTTGTTTCTCTGAAAGGAGGCCTGTGACTAGTGATGTGCCACAGGGGTGGGTGCTGGGACCTTTGTTATTTGTTATTTACATAAATGATCTGGAGGTGAACGTACAAGGCATGATTAGTAAGTTTGCGGATGATACAAAATCAGGAGGTATCATTGATAGCGAAGAAGGTTATCAAAAATTACAGAAGGATCTTGATCAGATGGGGATGTGGGCTGAGGACTGGCAAATGCAATTCAATACAGTTAAGTGTGAAATTTTGCCGTTTGGCAAGTCAAACCAAGGTAGGACTTATACAGTAAATGGTAAGGTCCTGAGGAGTGTTGTGGAACAGAGGGACCTAGGAGTACAAGTACATATTGCATTGAAAGCAGCCTCAGAGATGGACAGGGTTTTGAAGTAGGCGCTTAGCATGCTGGCCTTCATCAGTCGAGGCACTGAGTATAGGAGTTGGAATGATATGTACAGTTGTATAAGTCATTGGTGAGGCTGCACTTGAGTATTGTGTACAGTTTTGGTCACCCTGTTATAGGAAAGACAGAGTTAAACTGGAAAGACGTACAAGGATGTTGCCAGGACTAGCAGGCCTGAGTTATAGGGAGAGGTTGGCCAAGATAAGAACTTATTCCTTGAAACATAGGAGAATGAGGGGGGACCTCATTGCGGGGCACAGATAGGATGAATGCATATCGTCTTTTTCCCAGGGATGGATAATTGAAAACTAGGGGGCATAGGTTTAAGGTGAGGGGAAAGAAAGATTTAAGAAGGACCCAAGGGGCAACTTCTTCACACAGTGGTCGTATATGGAATGATGCTGCTGGAAAAAGTGGTTGAGGCAGGTACAATAGTAATA